GCATCACGAACCCCAGGAAGCGAACCAGATTGCCACGAGGCGGAAGAGGCAGCAGAATCCACTTCGGTGACGGTGATTGCATGTGTGCATGGAACCTAATCAGGAGCCTTGGGAAGATGTGAGCTCACCTGTACTGTTACTGTAACCTGTCCCCCAAAGCACAAGAAGTTATAGATAGCAGTTCCCAGTTGTTGTGTTAGAAATAAAACACATTGGTTTCAAATGAGAAATTGACTGTAGAATTCTTCAGGTTGTCTTTAGGAGGCTAACAAAAGAGCGATGAGGAAGGTTAAGTTTTTGTCATGGTTATTTTTAGTAAAAGTCAGAGACGGGTCACGGGCAATAAACAAAAAAAGCCCCTGACTTTTCCTAAAAATAAGCATGACAAAATGGGGCTGATGGGTGGATGAGAGCCCGAGCCCTGATTGCAGGGACTGTCCAGGTCCCCCTGCCATCTGCGGCGTCTCAGAGCTCCACCTCCACCCTTCCTCCCCCAGCGGCTCAGAGCACCAGGGCCAGAGCTGGGAGGTGCAGGGGCCCCCTGCCAGCTCCTGCCCTGCCACCCCAGGGCTGAAGCAGAGAATGTCCCAGAGGTCTCTGGAAGTCACAGAATCCATGACCTCCCTGCCATAATCTTAGCCTTAATGATGACCACAGTGAGCCCCATGCACCCCAAAAGCAGGAGATGCTAAGTGAAGCACAGCTGCTGCACCGTGGATGCAAGCAACATAATACATGCAAGTGATGCTAGGTGCAGTGTGGAGACAGCATCAGCAATACACAGCTTTAGGGAGCAGCAAGGAGACCCAGACAGACTATAGGGAGCCACATGGCACCAGTGGTGTGCACCAGGCCCACTGCAGGTAGGGGCGGCACCAGGACGTACAGGGCTGGAGAGCCAGCCCAATGCTACAGTGGATAGTAGGTTGCTGCCAGTTCCGGAATGGGTCCCTTGGTGCCCTCCTGCAGAGGTGGTACCATAGGTCACCGTCTCAGATTCCCTCCCCCTCCCCACAGGGGAGCTCCCTTCTCCACAGTCCTGGCAGGCAGTCCCTTACTTGCTACCCTACACCCCTGAAAAATGCTCTCAAATCCTGCAGCACCACCTCCTGGCCAAATGAGGGGGAGTATCTGCCCCTTCCTGCATCCTAGGCCCTCTTGGGAATTATTTTATTTGCACGTGTCGGTCCTCCAACCTCTGTCCATCCACCCTACTGCGCTGAAAACTGAATTCAAAATGGCCACTCTTGGATTTCCTGGTTCAGGTGAAAACCTCCTGTTTTGATAATCTCTGAGTCACAACATTTCATTTCAATAAATATTTGAAGGTTTCAGCATCTCATCTCAGTATCAAAATATCGCAATTTCTCACAGGATGGAAAAGCTGTTTTCTGATTAGCTCTGGTAAATTGGTATTTACAAAGCAGCCCACTCCCGCACACAGCCTTCCCCCCCACTCCTCCTGCCCTCCCCCCCCAGCAACCAGGTCTTTCCAGGGGTGAGGATTGGCACAGATGTCTTCATTGTCATGACATGGTAAACACTCACCGACTCCAACAGGATTAGTTCAAGTACAGGAGAATTCATTTTCTCAGTGGGTGGTTTAAGTTCACTGTGCCTAACAAGATGGCAGTTTTGGAGTCCATCTTCTGAAAGTCCCTGTAAGCACTCAGCACCCACTGAGAACAATGGAGAACTCTGCAGCCATTGAGGAAAATGGGAGCTGCTGGTGCTAAGCACTTTGGAAAATCTGGCCCTGAATGTTAAATAGATTATCTAAAAAGTTAGGCTGACTTGAAGTTCACAGCCTGGGGGTATTTTACTTGCACTATGTGTTGGAATTTAAAAGGAACACAAACAGTTTTTCAACCCATGATGTTGTTTATTAGCTACAGTTAGTGGAAGAGGATGAAAACAAAGATTTTTAAAAATCAAATTTAATTTTCCTGGGTTATGCTGTTCACTTTTCACATTTATGGTCACTGGGATGATGAAACAGACTAGTGGGTTTAGTCAGTTTCAGGTTCTCATGCTGGGTAGTGCATAAAGCAGTGGTTCTCAACCTATTTACCATCATGGGCCGCATCTGCAGCTTTCTATGTGTTATGTGGGCCGCAGCCTGTATGGCTCTGAGGATGTCAAATGGGCCAAAGCTGTGTGCTGACTGGGTCGCAAGTGGCCCACGCGTTGAGAACCACTGCAAGCAGATTCTGCAGGTCAATGTTTGTTTTCATTGGCAGTATTGTGTTTAGTTTTAGATTTTTCTAAAAGACTGATTTTACAAAGCCTGTAGTTTGTGCCAAACTTTGTCCACCTACCCTCTACTAGTGCAATTTACACCCAAGTTCAAAATGCCTCACTCCTAGCACATACTTTCTTCCGCTCTACATACCTCTTCCCTACTCAAGTTCTTTGCAAAATTATTTTGCAACATTGCAAGAGGAGCATGGAGGAAGTTGCCAGCGTGATTACATAGAAACTGATCTATTATAGTCCAACTGTAAACTTCCACTCAAAAAAAATGTGGTACTTAGATGCCTATTTCTAGTGTTGACTAGGAAAACAAGCCAGTTATTAGTTTAAACCTCCCTCTAGCTTTGATATAGAGCTTAGTAATACAACATTTGGCTGGCACGGGCGGGGCGGGGAGAGAGAAATAAACTACACTGTATGAACACCAGCATTTGCTGAAGGGCTTTACAGTTAAAGGGAGAAGCAACTGTGACTGGAAGAGGAGAGAAAACAGCTCTCCCCGCCGCCAGCAGCCATCATATTCTGTATATAGCCACTACAGATCCTGGCACCAACCAAATCAGTACATACTGTCCAAGAGTGTATTAGAAAGATGGAAACACTGGTCATGCCTCGATAGTTGAAGTCAACATGAGCTGGGATTGCTCAGCAAAAATCAATCCATTTTTATTGTGGTGTCTGAACTTCCAGTCTTCACATTTGACCGTTTGGCCATGATTATTAAGAATGTAGAGTTCTCCAAACTAGATTGCAAACATCTAAATATATACACTCGAAAGTCAGAGTGAAAGTTGCTTAGTGTGTTATGATTTACTCTTCATAGTTCTAGTTAGAGACCATACACGTGATAGATGTAGTGATTTCTAACACTGCATTCGGGTTCTTTCTGTAAAAAATAATTGTGTTTTGTTCAGTTACCCCTGTTCTCAGCCCATTCTCTTGTGCTATACAAACGAGTAGCACAAAAATGAGTTTTTGTGCCCGATCTGCCTGCCACCCAAAGCACAATACTCACTGTAACTTGGTCTTGGAGTCAGCTGCTGCTAGAGAATTCCTTCCAGTCCACACATGCTTCCTTTTCTACCCTGACTGTTGCTACCTGCTAGCAACTGCCAAGCAACTGTCCTCCGAACGTTTCTGCTTCTTAGACTGTAGCTGGTTAACCCAGGAGCTATGCGCCCCTACAGTGCTAAGATGAGATGGTGCAACGGTTGTGACTGAGACTGAAAAGCACTGTGTCTGACATGTTGGTAGCTGGAAATGCAAGTACGGAAGTTCCTTTGCTTATGGTTTTTGTCTGACGGTCTCCAGGAATTTCTGCTACAGTAAGAAATACTGTTCCCGTGCCATGCAATAAATCCATCCCAGCTTAGCGGGCCTGGCTGTCTGAACTGCAGCCTGCAGACCCACTGACACTTGTGCACCAGTCTATGTACAGTGTGCTGTCTGTAAGGCCGTCTGGGGTTGCCAGGCTTCGTTATTTCAATCACATAGAGTTAACGGCTACCACAAATGTGGAGGAAGCAAGACTCCCATCCTTAAAGAGGTACCCTCACAGCAGATCGGAGAAAGCCTAACCAGCCCAGGGGCCCCCAAGAGCCAACTCCTATGCTCATTTCTTCGCAAGGAGCTGAGTGCGACTGGTGCCCCCGTAGTGGCTATCACATTCCAGTGCACTATCCCCACAAATATCGGAATAAAACCCCAGACACCATCTTACAATTCAGGGGCTTTAGGCTGGCACAGGAGTGTGCATCAGTAAGACAGCAGGAGAAGCAGGCCATGAGGCATTGTCTACAGCATCTTCCTGCATATTCCTAAACCCCCGAAGATTGCACCCACACAGGTCATAATACATATGAAGGCTGAAATCTGGACTGTGTCCCTTGGACATGGCCAGACCCTGAAAACAAAGTATTCCAATGCCAGACACCACAGGGCAGATGCTCTGAGAGTTCAGCAGTCCGACCCCAGAGGAGAAGTGCACCATTTCCAATGCCCCACCTCATTCCAGAAGAGTTTGTTCCTCACGGAACCCAGAACGCGGAGCGTAGGCTGCTCACACACGCAGCGCTCCTGAAGGCCAGCGTTATCTGCTAACAAAGCAGCATTCTCATACGCTCTGTTTGGCTAGAGGAAATCAAAGCCGACAGACTGTGCCAAGGCGCCACAGGTCGCCTGCACCTTGCCCTGGGAAGCTCCACGCAACCTCAGATTGTTCTTAATTGACACGTTTAAGAATGTGGCTCTCCAGAACTCAAGCCACAAAATGGAGTGATAGTGAACTGTCCCTTCCGCCATGCACAGCCGCCTCCAGGCAGCAGCCCATAGGCTCCATCTTGCCCTCCTGTCACCTAGGTGAGGGCTTTGTCAGGCAGCCCAGAGACAGCATGGGCCTGTGGGGAGGCCAGTAATGCGGCATGTTTGTCAAGACTCATCACTCCAGCTGATTCTCTGCTGTAAGCAGGACTGGGGAAATACCCTGTGTTAGTGTAACTGCCGCAGGGGGCCACGGGTACACCGGGAGGGACAACAGTCTGACTCAGTAAGCAAATGAACCATAAGCCTCCTCCCCCTCCCCCCAAATAACCGAGGGAAGAATCGGGCAGCGACTTAGGAAAGGGAGCGGGGATGGGCGGAGGAAAACCTTCCCTTCCCTTCCCACTGCAGAGGAAACGAAGCCCAGGAGGAACCTTTTCAAGACAGCGTGAAGGAAGCTGTGACTTTGTGCTGCTTCTTACTCTGACCTTTATTCTGTTCTCAGCACTTTACAGCAGAGAGCTCCAGTCCCTCACATGGCCAGCTCGGCAGCCGCTCTCGTCACCAGCCTCCCTTGCCTCCTTTCTTCTTCTTCTGCTGCTGCTTCTTCTTGGTTGCTGCAGCGCCAGCAGGTTTCTGGTGCCGGGGAGGGATCATGTTACTCGTGGCTGCGGAGGACGTGGCTGTGGTGCTGCCAGGCCGGGGGGAGGTAGGCGGGCTGCTTGCTGTCTTACTGGCATCCCTGCAGGGAGACAGGTAACGCCGCTGGGTTAGGTGTGCCTCCCAGGGCCGGGGGACTTCGAACATCGCTGCTAGAGAGAGGAACATTTTCCCTTTCCTTGCCCAGAACAGAAATCAAAGGGAAACTAATTTAGACTCCAAAACAGATAAAAAAGCAATTGGCCATGGGATTTGCTTTTAAAGCTGCGGAATTACAGCCCAACAATTGAAGTGAGCACACTGTCTGGGTTATGGATAAATTATTCAGACACAAAGTAGAAATCTCACACTCCGGGAAATGCAGATGAGCAGTACAAACCCAACCGAAGCCAGGCTGTTGCTGTTCTCCTGCCTGCACTCTTACGGGAAGGTTGTTTGCACCAGGTCTCCCCCTGCCATAACCCAGCCCCTCCCTGCTTGGCCCTGCAAGTGGCAGCACTGAGCTCCCATCCAGTGCACAATTTACTGAGTTCAATGCAAACAGAACCTCACTTTAGCCCAGAATCATGCTCAGGAGGTTTGAAGAGTCTGTAGCAGCTGACTAAACAGAAGGGTGTGCACAGGCTCCTTTCTAGTTCATCAGGCGTGTCATGTGGAACACCTGAAAAGCAGGAAGGGAAGAAGACAGGAGCCAAGAAACTTTTAGGAAGTGTGATTTGCATCCTAGCTCTAGCTCCAGAAAACCGCAACCAGCTCACGCTTTGGTTCCAAATCAGAACATTTAATGTCAGAAGAATGGCACAAGCTTGCAGAAAACAAATTCTGGGCTGAAGGGACCTTTCCACCCAAACCTCAGGTAGCATAAATCACCTGTTTGTTAACTAAGGACAAAGTACCAGGTCCCGCATTCTGTCTGGGCTGGGGTCGTGAAGGGGTGCAAGGGAATCAGGTGAAAGTCAAGGGGTACTTACCTCCATTAGGCACTTTTAAAAACCCCAACATACCTCTCCTTTGGAGCATCACCCAGATGACACGTACTGTTGGGTATCCCATCCCTGCAGGCCCCAGGTGTGGGGAAGACTGGGGTTCTGATGGGGCAAAACAGCAACCCCCAGCCAGGCCTGCAAGGACAATGACGAGCCCCTGGCTGCGAAGGAGGCCACCCTGCTGCTGAATGGCTCTTGCCCAGGGATAGCTCCCACACAGCGAGTGAGTGAGCAGGGCTGTAACAGTGGGGCTGCAGGAGGCTCTCTGCACCGCACTGGAGCTGGAGACAGCAAGGTGGCCTGCCCCACGGTCACCGGCTCATCCTCCTGCTCTCAGTCTCTGCTCTGCCCTGCCAGGAACTCAGCCTTCCCCGCATCTTTCCCCTGCTGGGATCAGGGGTCACTACACAGTTATTGTCTGACACCCCCCACCTTAATTTTCTGTGACTGTGAACATTCAAATAGAAAAATAATAATAAAAACTAGGTGAAACCCTTCAGTTCACATCACGGAAAAAAATAAAACTGATACATTTCAAAATGTTTAACAGTAAGAATTGATGTACGTACATCACAACAACAAAAAATAACCATTGACTTCTGCTAAGCCTCTGCCCTGGGTACAAATTCTGAGCCTGTGATTTGCAGGTAGCGACAGCTGCATAGCTGAGAGTCCCAACTCACCAGACTGCAATCAGAGCCATGGCCAACGTGTTCACAAGTGACTCCAGTACCATACGGGTTAAGAGGAACGACAACTCCCGTTTGCTTTTAACTGCTAGTAGTAGCGTAATAGTTTCAATCCTTGCTAAAGTAATCAGCTACACTAAGAAGTGATTTAGCCATAAGTTGCCAATTTCACACTAGGCCCATATTATACACACGAGTGTGATGAGAGAGACAGAATTCATTCCACCCCAGGGGCGCCACAAAGGAAAGGCTACTGGAAAAGTTGCAGCAGCTCTACCATTAAGCTAAGTCCAAGGCAGCGTTCAAAAAAGAACTATGTAAGTTCCTGGAGGATAGGTCCATCAATGGCTATTAGCCAGGGTGGGCAGGGATGGTGTCCCTAGCCTCTGTTTGCCAGAAGCTGGGAATGGGCGATGGGATGAATCACTGGATGTTTACAAGTGTTCTGTTCATTCCCTCTGGGGCACCTGGCATCGGCCATTGTCAGAAGACAGGATACTGGGCTGGACGATCCAGTATGGCCGTTCTAATATTCTTATGTAATTCTTTCTACCCAAGTTTTCCCACACGTGCAATTGGATAAGGATGTTTCACTTATCCTGTTCCAAAGTGCTGCCTAATTCAGCCGTAAGCTGTTGAAGAACTACTGTGTTTAATGACTGATGTTTAGTGACAAAGTTTAATACTTTGTGCATTATGGTCCAGTCCCACACGCCTGGCGTACGCCAGACTCATGCCACACACTGACGATGTGCTCAGTTTAAGACAACTACAGATACAGTCCCTGCCCTGGGGAGCTGGCAATCTACAGAGCAAACAAATCAGACTCAATGCACTGCGAGAACCAGAGGATGAGCCTCACCAGTCTCAGTGGGATCTGGAGGCCATGTTTGTGAAGCAGTTGAGGAGTGTTTGCTGCCTGAGGCACTGTGTAATTACAAAGCACTCTTCTCTGCAACCCCTACTCACAGCTCAGACGTGCCAGCTGTCGTTGCTCCCTGGGTTCCCTTTCCAATCTGATCCTTCTTTTTGCCCTTCTTCCTGCCGCGATAATAGGAGCGCTCTCGCATCGGAAGCCACCGCTCAGGGTCCGGGGTCATCTTGGGATCATAGTTCTTAGGCAGTTTTCCTGCACAGCCGTCAGGAGAAAAAAGTGGAGATCATGTGACATGGTGAGGAAAAGCCCCACACATTGATATGAAGCTTGAGTAATCTTCCTTCCGTCTGGGATGTTGTGCTAAAAGATCTGCTCAAGGAATGATTCCAGGGCAGTTCTCTGGCCTATGTTATACACCGGGGGTCAGGGTAGTCCCTTCTGGCCTTGGAATCTGTGACTCTACAAAGCTTAAGCCTCCAAGGTGCAGAGTCAAACGAAGCGCCTCTCGCCGGCGGAGCTTTGCATGCTAGGTCTGACAGGCTGCTTTCCTCCTCTGGGAAATACTGTCAGGAAACCAAGGCTTGGAAATCAGCAGGGTTCTGGTTTGTTTAGGACCCAATCCTGTGTGATCCACTGATGCCAATGGGAATAGAGGGGGCTCAGGCCTGGCCACTTCCCATGTTACATCGAACCCAGCAGCTGAGGCTGAAGAGATAGTACTAGGCAGGAAGCACAAACCTGGTGTGAGGGAGGGCATGCAGCAGCCACCTGTCATTCTTTAAAAGAGGTGGTTTAAACTCTACAGGTGGGATTTCCAAACCCTCCCCCTCCCCCACCAAGGGAATGAAGCACTTAGCGTTTATGGGACTTGGGCACCTAACTCCCCCCACCCTCAAAACACAGCCTGGGATTTTCACAATCTTCTGATCCCGCTGGATGGGAGTTTAAAGAACGTTACCAGGGAAGGGGGCAGGGCACAGATAACAAGGTGTGGCCGAGGCTGCAAACTGCTGTTGTTACAGCAACGGTGTACTACAAAAACACACAACTCACCCTTCTTTTTCCTCTTCTTTTTCTTTACATCCCCTTGCCTAAAAGAGGGAGGAGGAGAAAGAAGATCACAGTGCCGCAGTGGGTTCCAGTGACAAGCGCGGAGCCAGGGTTGGGACGAGAGGAATGGCTCTTTTTTCAAAGAAGTGAGGAGGTGAGGAGGAAAGGACACTAGTCTCAGAGAAACGGTTCTAATCCCCTAGGGCAATGGATCTCCAGTTACTTCCCCCGCAGACCAGTCTGTCAGAGCCCCTGACTCCTGCTCCCAGAACACCCCCATTTCCCCGGCTCAATGTTTCATTCTGCAGCCCGCCAGCAAACGCTCCACAAGCCAATGCACGAGAACCCCAGCGTGAGGGAATGTTCCCCGGACCACGCTTGGCCTCACTCTAGTGGTGTGCGCAGCTCTGGCTTCACAAGGGCCTTGCTGCCCACCTCTGCATCGCAGATAGGGACATTTCCTTTGCATCACTGATCGGGACGACTGCTGTCCCCCTCTGGACCTCCCGGAGTTACCTACAGACACTCTAAGGGACAGCCTGCTTTTCGACTGGTCAGACCATTTGCAGGGTGGCTGGAGGAACAGGTCTGAAGCTCTGAGGTGATCCACACAGCAGGTGCTTTCTAACCCCAAGCCCAGGGAAGGGAATGATGGGCGTGAGAGATGCTTTTTACCCTTGCTCTTTCTGCTGGTTCTCTCCCGTGAGCTTTCCGCCTTTCTTCCGAACATACGTAGCCCCGGGGGAATTTTCAAGCGCATCCACGTCTACTTTCAAAGACATCGTGTCCGACGAGGGCAAGTGTTTGCTAAGGCTGTCGAGGGGCAGAGCTCAGGAATGGAAACAGGAATGCATTCAGCAAAGAGAGTTGGGACGGAGACACCAGCAGCAACTCAAACCCCATCTTTGTCCCAGGGAGATTAACCAGCAGCTCCAATCCATACACAGAGTGAATTAGTGGAGAGGGCAACAGACAGGGACCCAGGAGACCTGGGTTTTGTTTCTGGCTTTGCCACTGGCCTGCTGGGTGACCTTGGACAAGTCACTTCCCTTCTAGGTGCCTGTTTCCCCATCTGTACAACGGGAGTGATGACCTGGACCTCCTCTGTAACGCGCTTTGAGAGCTCCTGACGGGAAGTGCGGTAAGAATTGGTTATTATAATAAGAGTTACACCAAACGATTCAGTGGGAAAGTACAACGTGTTACCACTATAGGACAAAAATGCCACAGCAAAAAGTTGGAGCATACTGATCTGTTCGCTCATCATTAACTGACTGAAGCTCTCATTGCTTTTGGGGGGCCAAGGGGAGATTTAAAAGCCCTAAGGGAATTTAGACACCCAAATCTTACTAGAAGTAAATAGCAGGTAGGCACCCAACTCACTTAGGTGCTTTTGAAAAGCCCTCCCTTAATGTGGAGTTGCACTATGACCTTCCCGCTCTCCCCAGGGTCAGAGGTTCCCTGATGTCCCTGTTGGAAGGGTCCTGAAGCAGCTCAAAAATTCCTAACACTCATGACATCATTAGGAAAACATTCTGGGAACCGAAGGGACAGCAACCCCCTTCCCCTCTGCAAGCCCAGTCACCGCCACAAAGGATACACCTTCGCCTTCTCGGGGTCTACGAGGGAGTACGCAGAGATGAGCTGGGCCAGAGTATGAATGTCTTTTGGGTTTTGCCTTGAAGAGAAGAAGAAAGGAACATTCTGAAGTTCACTGAACACTCTACGAACACGAGCCACGCCCAGAGTGTGCACTATAGCTAACCACACAGCCCAGCGCTGGCTAGCCCCAGGCAGGTGCTTTCAGCGTGTGCAACAGCAGGTGCTGATAGAGTACAATGCAGGATGTTCACTGCCAGCCACTTTGACTAGCCTCTCCCCAGGGACCATGCAGCCACCAACCCTAGAAATCTAGCGTCTGTTGTCATTTTTCTTACCCATTTTCTTAGTCTAAATTTTTTTAATTGGTGTCTTTTTTAAGGTCGCTCCTACGAAAACCTTCTATCCCTATTAAAAAAAAAAACAAAAAACCCCCACACTGCCTCTGCTTCGCTCCACAATTCGCTCAGACTGCACAGACAGGCTGATCTGTTTTTTCGCACAACAGGAGAGAGAGCTGCAGATCAGTCCTCAGAATATGCCAGCACCAAGAAGGACCTGGGGGTTCATATGAATTTCAGATACTGGGGAACTCCTCCCACAGGGAATGGGTGCTGGCTGGGGACAGAAGACATGGCATCCAACATGAAAGAGACAGCTTCTATCAGGATGTACCGCACAAGCACCCACAACAGAGAAAGAGAGCTGTTCCTACAGATTGTGGGGCTTGGCCTGCTGTAGCAGTTACTTCATCCAAGGGGTGGGGCAGGGAGCACCGCTTTGACCAGAAGCCCCTTTACAATGTCTAAAAGGAGGAACTACTGCCTCACACGTTATCTGGCTCCAGAACCCCTGAGCAGTCCTCACAGGGACCAGGCACTGCCCATGTTTCAGTGCACAAAACAGCAGGACCACGGCTCAGGTCCAGAAGGAAAACAGGATACCCCTCTCCCCTCCCGGAACTCACTTCCACAGCTCTTCCAGGTCGCTGATCGCTTCCTTCTTCCTCCCGTACTTCAGCTTGAAGTTGGCTGCTTCCCTTATCAGCAACAAGTGAACTGGAGACTTTGGCTGCAAGTGACAAGGTTCTTCAAATGAAGACATGTTTGACAGCATTTAGCAAGTCACTGACGTGGCTGCTTTGCTTCCTGATGTTACTAGAGACCGGCTCAGACCAACGTACACTCCCCACCCAAGGGATCTGGAAGGAGAACTGAGCCGCAGGAATTGCTTCCCCATTCCTTGAGGGACAGGCTTGGCAGTCTGTGGCTTTAAACCTAATCCCACCTGCCGCCAGCAGCCCACGATCAACAGAATTGGGAGGAGGGGGTGAAAATGGGAAGGGGATAGGCATTTTAGCCAGCGTCTGACGATCACGGAAAACTAACAGTCATCTGCTGCTGCTGTTTATTTGCAACCTGTAGTCACAGCCTGGTTTAGGACATCAGCCATTTCCCCAGTGACCAGCCAAGGCACCAGATCATAAGGTGGGGAACAAGTGCAGGCAGACGCATTTTGAAAAGCCAAGCGTCCTTGCTGACAGAAAACCAGGGAAGAGAGAAACATGGGAAACAGCTAATGCCAAGGCAGCTTTATGAGAACACTTCCCATGGGGCTCGTGCTTCTTCTGGCAATTCACAGTTTGCTGAAATAATTGCTACATCCAGCCTCAAAATAACCAGGTTCCAGGAACTAATTACTGAGCCCCCAGTGAAACAATCACTCTGCTCATCAGACAGACTCCAAGTGGCTCCTTTCAGCGGCCTGACATTCCGATTAACCGAGTACAGCCGGCAGGCTGCCGTTCCGATTAACCGAGTACAGCCGGCAGGCTGCCGTTCCGATTAACCGAGTACAGCCGGCGGGCTGTCGTTCCAATTAACCGAGTACAGCCGGCGGGCTGCCGTTCCGATTAACCGAGTACAGCCGGCGGGCTGCCGTTCCGATTATCCGAGTACAGCCGGCAGGCTGCCGTTCCGATTAACCGAGTACAGCCGGCAGGCTGCCGGGCTGGAATCAGTGTCCCCCTCTAAAGCTCTCCTGCTCAAACTTTTCCTTCTTAAGTAAGTGCACAAAGCCAACTGACTGCTGCTCCTCCAGTGTCCACACGGGAAGAGGGGCAACACTGCGGTGCCCTCTGCTAGCCTGCAGAATCTATAACCTGACAGGCACTGGAAGAGCTGGTAAAGAGAGTCTGCCATTTTCTCCACACTGCAGACTTGCCATTGGTCCAAATGACAAACCTGGTGCAAGCAGCATGTCACACACAGAGAGAGACATGGAGTAGAATGTCCCCGGCCCCCCAGCATCTCATCAGCCGTAGCGAGCCGTTGGCAAGGAGACCGCTTATTGCCTCTCCGGGCGATGTACAGGTAGGAGCTGGTCAGGAACAGCTGGTCTCCAGCAAGTTAGTAAGGGACAAAAAGTAGCTTCAACTCTCAAATGTATTGTCTTCCCTGATCTACTTGCCTGGTATTCCTGGTACCAGTGGATAGCTTGCGTGAAGACCTCAATAGCACTGTCAATGTCTTCTTCATGACTGTACATCGTCACTAACGCAGACACCTGCAAACCCCAACAACAGTCAGCGTGCAGTCAAGGGACGGGCACTACTTGTAAGTGATCATTTAAAGAAACTTTTCATGTATACATGTTATTAAAAGAATCGCTGAAGAAAAAGGGAACAGAACGAACTGCTCCAATGGACTTTTGAAGCAGCCGCCTCCCCAGTACAGCCAGGACGTTACTGCAATGGTTGAAACAGCCCCGGAGAACTGTTGTTTAAAAGGTTTCCAATCAATGAAGGATAAAGGATGAGAGAATCACTGAACTGGGAAAGCAAAGGCTGCCACACCGTGCTCTCAACACCATGATGTTCGGCAGGGCGCTTGCTGCTGCTGGGGCCCTGGTGGGATCTGAAAGGTCTTACGTTACCGGCTCCTCCTTCCTTTCTGCTGCTCACCGCCACATAAAGCAGCTTAAAAATGTGTTTGGTACTTTCCCAACATTGCTTACTGGGCAAGCAATTGCTGTAGCTGCCCAAGGGCTGTTAAGGGAGTGCTGTAGGAAAGGGAGGCAGGTCCGTGAAACTGTGAATGAGAGGGAAGTTGTCCATTCTAAAAACAAGTTGGGGGACTCTGATGCAAGTTATTACCCTTTGTCTGGCTGGTTTTCACCACAATAAGTGAGCTATCTAAAGTCTAACATCTACTCTGAGGCATAATGCTGTGTATCAAAAATCTCAGCAACCAAGCCGCACTGTGCAAGCAGACCAGCAGACTAAGACCAACGCTGGGCACCCAGATCTGAATCTCAGCCCAGGAGTAGCTCAGGAGACAGGAAAACAGGAACAGGGAAGGAACATGAAAAGGATGATGGTATTCTGGGATGGTGTCTGTTAACTGCCACTCACCATGCCTGGCTTATGCTTCAGCTCTTCTATACTCCTCAGAATGATGCATGCTTTGGTGACGCTGCCTTAGAGAAAGAAGGGAGAATAATGCACTTTAAACTACACAGCAATGCTTTTCCTGCCTCTGTTCTCCATCCGGGATCCCCCTACCCTCAGAGTGTCCCTAGGGAAGTCTGCATACACCAACAGGCCACCGCACTCCTATGCCTGCAGGGCCAGCTGCTGAAGAGGTTTTCTCCACTATTATTGTTAAGGCAACACAATCGCTGGCCGTTCATGGAGAAGAAACGTCAGTCCCAACAGTGCTCTTCTCATCCTCAGACGAAACAGCCTTGGCAGCAACCCCAGCACCCACTGGGCTCCCCACCTAGGTCTGCAGCACGCCCAAGGCTGCTACCACACGCAAAGGGCTCATCCCCAGCTCCAGTGCTAGAAGCAGTGGGTCGAGAGCAATGCTTTACTTCCCTACGGAAGGGAATGGAGCACCAGCAGCTGGGTGTATTTCAGAACAAACCTCACTCAGCTCTGGCCTGCCTGCTCCACCTGATGCCAGTGCATGTTTTATCCCAAGCTTCAATGAGAGCAAAGCTGGGCCAACAGGAAGTGCTTTGATCCCCCTTCCCCACCCTCCCCCCTCAAGCACTGCAGGGCCAGATCCTGCCCTCTTCTTTCTCCTGAATAGTCCCACTGATTGCAGGCACTGCTGCCAGGCGACAACGGAGCACGGCCCAGGCCAAGTACTGGATGTTGGGGAGTGCATATTTGAGGTAGCTTGAGGGGAACTTTAAAACTTGAGTGACACGCAGTCAGCAGCAGCCAACCATTTCAATACGCAGATCCCCAGCCTTTCCTGTATGTACTTCTGCGGCCACTCAGGAAAGGGTCGATCCCGCACCAACCACATTAATACAAATCCCCCTCCCCCTGCCCGCTCTGACCCTCGGTGCCCAGCTGTCCTGCTCCCTCTCTCAGGTCACATCAGCCCATTGTAATGTGCTGAATGCCAGCTGTCAGCACGGTGCCCAGGGCTGCCCTGCACTTGTTCCACAGGCCCTGCCCCCTGGGGCACACAACCCCCACACTGCATGGACAATGCCAGGCTCAGGCAGGAGCGCTGATTTCCATAGGGCACCCCCTCGGCAAGAGGTACCATCCCCTAATTACAACCCCTTCCCCTGGTAACTCCTCTCACAGACATCAGAGGGACGGGGCAGCCCTGTCCAAGAACTGATCAAGAGAAAAATGGTTCTGGCCAAATGCAGAGGACAGCTTGCTTTACTGCTGCTCACCGTGAGGGTGGAGATGCTGTCCTAGCCCTCCTGCAGGGCTGTGAAGCGCAGGGTTTGAGAAAGTATTTCTAACCCCACCCTGGACGGAGCTGCCTTGCTGGGCCTCACACCAGCAAGAGGCCACTCTCAGTCCTGGCTCTCCAGACACTAAGACCAGTGACAAAGAATTGGTTTTTTTTACCTAGCATTAAACAAGCATTTCCCAGCACAAAAGGGCACTGGTACCTTGAGCGATTTTCAGCTGTGCCATCGTCAGCTTGATCTGCGCCGAGTCGGCAGGGCTCTGCTCCGCAAAGTCCTGAGAGCGAGAGACGCAAGGGCGTATGAGCATGTTCATGAACGCAGCGCGTCAGCCTGGGCCCGGGCCCGTTTTAAAACCAACTTCAGAAAGAAAAGCTCGACCGTGTCGTTTGAATAGCCAGGGAGGGAGCCAGTTCGAGTGGAACCACTCCACACAGAGTCCTGAATTGCTTCCATGGTCTGTGACTCCTCCCACAGCGCCGCCCCATTCCACCACAAGCACGTGCCAGGGTCCATGCCCTCACCGCGCACAGCAGCTACTCCCTCTGGGCAGGCAGCTGTCAAGTGCAGCATGCCAGGTGACACTTGACACCAGGACCGAGGCCTTGTTTACATGAGGAAGCTGCACCCGTTTAAAGTGCCATGTGAACATGACTTCAGTTTAAAACCAGCTTATTTCAGTTTAGCAGAAGTTGATTAGGAACAGGGCACTCTGAAACAGAAGTGTCTGCAGAGTCTTTGGCACCAGTTTAAACCCCAATTTTAAGTAAACCAGTGCAACCTGTGCATGTAGACCAGGCCAGAGAAGGGCTGTGGACACCACCCTTTGGGATGAGAGGCCAGGAGAAGTGAAGTCCTGCCTTCCAGAGGAGCACAGCCCCAGGCACTAACACCCACCCGGTCCCTATGGGGAGGAAAAGCAGCCCTAACACCACCGCCATAGTGAAGGGGGTCATTTGCCAAGTGGGGCTCTCCCATTATAGAAAGAACACACCCTTCACGATGAGAGCATGGGCGTGTACGTGTCTCTCCCAACCAGACCCGTCACTGCTGAGCCCTGCGTAAGCCACGCTCATTAGACAACGCAATGACCATTGCGGGTGGTTGAGCGAACATCCATTTCTGCAGTATTAACTGCCCCTTGTACCAACTCCATCTGTTAGGTTCCAGTGCAGGAACAGCCCTCCACTCTCCAGAGCAGCAGCAGGAGATCAGTCACCCACCTGGAGGAGCTCTATTGCCTTCGCATGCTGCTTCTCTCGACAGAGCTGGGCAGCCTGGATTAGCACCGGTAGCAGGTGCTCGGGGTTCTGGGACTGTAAACTTGCTGACAGCTTGCGGCACTGATCTGCCTAAGGGACACAAGGGAACGTTTTCCTCAGTGTTAGTGAACAGCCAGTGCGACTGTGCAAACCCCACGGAGAGAACAGGGCGAGGGGGCTAGTGGGGCCAGACACTGCCTGCCATCAGCTGATTCCAAGAGACACTGCCCCGTCCATTGAGGAACCGATTATACTGCAGGAGTGTCAAGAGGCCCCAGCCGGGAATGGGACATGGTGGCGGTAGAGGCTGTGCAAACAGGTAAAGTCACTGGCCCCAGGAGATTCCAACCCACGACTCCCACATGGCAGGGCCTGTGGGTGATAACCACAGCCATCACTCTGCACTCCTCTACATCTCTGTGCGCATGCAGCTGTTACTACACTGGCCACAGCCTCCTCGATGCCCCCTTGTGCTCCTCCTGCCAGCTTATTACAGCTGCCTAGACACTCAGGGCTTGTCTACGTTACCCGCAGGATCGATCCAGCGGGGGAATCGATTTATCGCGTCTAGTCTAGACATGATAAATCGACTGCCGAGCGCTCTCCCATCGACTCCGGTACTCCACCAGAGCGAGAGGCACAGGCGGAGTCAACGGGGGAGCGCCGGCAGTCGACTCTCCGCAGTGAGGACACCGCAGTGAGTAGATCTAAGTACATCGACTTCAGCTACATTATTCATGTAGTTAAAGTTGCGTGACTTAGATCGATCCCCCCCACCCACACACACACAGTGTAAACCAAGCCTTAGGCAACAAGCAATTTGGGGGCAGAGACAGTCTGTTATGTGCATCCAGTGCCTAGCTCAATCAGCATCAGAGCCTGTAGGTGCTACTGCAGTAATAAACACATTATCTGGGAAGAGACTCTCCAAGCGAGGTGCTATGCAAGCCACCATCATATGAATTTTTCTCAAAGGTTCTCCCTTTTTTCCCCACCAGAATGTCTGTGTGGGAGAGGGAGGAGCTAGACACACATAGCAGGGTGGGGTCTGATTTTATTAAGAGCTCTGGAAATGGAAGGGGAACTAGGTGAAAATGCCCAGAGCACCCCTTCTGCCAGATTCTGTCACAGACAAAGGATAAATCTCAGTTTCTGCCCACACGCAGCTCCAGGCATTTATTTCAGAATCTCCCTCATTACAGGACCACACTGAAAGCTGCCATCAGCAGCCAGTGTGTAACCCCATGAAGTGCCTGTGGTCTAGAAACCAGACAGTATTTTTGTTAGTTATTTAGACTTCTAAAAAGCTTACCCATCCAAAGCACTGAGCTCATGGACCCCGATATTAGTACCAAATCCATGATTCCTGTGTTTTTGTTTTGGCAATGGATATTATTGGTCCTTGTTAACAAGAACAGCAGTATGCACATTTCCTCTTATAGAGCAATGCACAATTTCTTCTCAATCTGCACATACCCGGTTAATACGATTTTAATAAACAAGACATTTACCAGGATAGTCATGTGAAGTTTCCCTGATAGGTATTAAACATTATGGGCCAGATTTTTAACTTTTAAATGCTCATCTCCGATTTAGACACCCGAATGAATTGGTCAGATTATCAAAAGATTATTCTCAATAGGAGCTGCTGGGCGCTGAGCACTTTTGAAAACTCTAGCATTTCAAATTCACTCCATCTCTGGATAACATCCTGACTATTTTGAGGGGAAAAGAACAGTCTATGGAGATCAACTAGATCAACTGGATTTACATTTCTGCTCAATTAAACTCCTGTGACGGGTTGTAAATCTGTACCCAGCAGATCTCTACCTGATTGGTGTACATAGCCAGTAAAGCTTTGTTGAATTCGATGGCCTGGAGCTGTTTCTTGGAGAGTTTGTGCTCCACGCCTTCTGCATTGGTCAATTTCACCTTTTTCTTTGAGTCAAAGACATTTTGGTCCTGTAGGAAACAAAACCGAGATCAAGCCAAGTTCCACTACCTTCATTAAATGGTGATCTCTATCTGGGCCCCCAAACTGACTTCATCCTTCCCCACACCACACGCAGAACGTGCAAGGAACACCCACAGGCGTGAGTTTCTGCCTTATTTGCCAGCACTGGGCAGCATAAAGAACACGAGAGAGGAGCCAATGAGGCACGGTGACTTGGAGGGGAATAAGATAGGAGAGCATAGTGTGGTTAAGCATCTATATAACTCCATTATGGTGCTACCTGAGCACCTCACAACCTTTACTGTCTTTATCCTCAACACCCTTGGTAGGGCCATGTTGTTATCCCCATTGTACAGATGGGGAACTGAGGCACACATTTGCCTAAGATCACAAAAGGAGTTTGTGATAGAGCAGGGACAGAACCTGGGTCTCCTAAGTCAGCACCCTTCCCTCTGGGCCACATATTCTGAGTCTCCCCTCACTATTCTCCACCATAAAAACATATTAAAAGTATGTAACTAGCCAAATCCTGACTTATAGAAATAGTATTTGCTTCCTAGAGCAAAGCCTTGCTAGACCTACTGTGAAAGAAACAAGACCTTGGTAACTGCTGACACACATCAACCTTTATGCTTGTTTGTTCACTTGCAAGACCAGCTTTGTAGTTCTCACTGGTTTCTTATTACAAGAAGAGTTCACTCGCTTGACAATAAAAACACAAATTAACCAGAGTCGCAACCCTTTGGGAATGTTACATTACTTAGGTATTTATGTGACTTCCCGTGAGATACATACTCAGACGAGCGTTCAGCCTGGTTCAACCACGGATCCTCCAGGCCGTGAGATGAAGCGACTGGAGGTCCGGGTGAAGGAGACGACTGTGGTTCTGGGATATGAGGTCGGGGTCGAGAGGAAGACGTAGGGGAGCCTGAATTGACAGGTCCAGTAGAGTCGGGTACCAACACTGACGTGGCCAGGCAAGGGCTACCAGTATGATATCTGCCTTGTCCCAGTTGATCTTGAGGAGCACCTTGTGAACCAGTGGGAACAGTGGGAAGGCATACAGCAACTGGCCCGACGATGTGATTTCGAAGGCGTCCGCTAACAAGCCCGGGCTGTGACTCCGGAAGGAGCAGAAGACTGGGCACTTTCTGTTGGTCCACAAAGCGAACAAGTCGATTCGGGGAAACCCCCAGGTGCGGAAAACGGAATGGATGGTATCTGGGCGAATGGACCATTCGTGAGTCAGAAAACGCCTGCTCAAAGTATCCGCCAGGACGTTCTGGACACCCGGCAGGTACAAGGGCTGAAGGTTAATGAAGTGGGCTAAGCAGAAGTCCCACAGAAAGAGGGCTTCCTGGCAGAGCGGTGATGACTGGGCTCCGCCTTGCTTGTTCAGGGAGAACATGGCTGTGGTGTTGTGCTACGCAGTGGCCCCGCAAGTGAGGAAGAAAGGCTTGGCAGGCGAGGCGGATCGCCCTGAGCTCTCTGATGTTGATGTGCAGCGACAGCTCGCTCTCGTGCCATAAGCCCTGCTTTGGCAGGCTGCCGAGGTGGGCTCCCCATACCAAGGCAGATGCGTTTGTAACTAAAGACCCACCATCTGAGGGTCCAGCCACCACAGCAGGGAGTCGAGTGTGCACTTCGGGACCGTGAGGACCATGTCTAGGCTGTCGCGTCCCGGTCGATAGGCAGACACCAGCCACGTCTGAAGCGGCCTGAGCCTGAGCCTGGCGAGTTGCACAACGTATGTGCAGGACGCCATGTGACCCAGGAGCCTGACACACTGTCTTGCTGTAGTGGTGGGAAACTTGCAGAGGCTGGTAATTATGCCTGCTATGGCAAAGTGCCGTGCCTCTGGAAGGAAAGCCCTCGCTTGGTTTGCATCCAGTACCGCGCCTATAAACTCTATTGTTTGAGTAGGGGCGAGGACGGACTTGCTGAGGTTTACCATGATGCCCAGGCGACTGAATGTGTCCAGGAGTAGACGTACCTGCGACTGCACGTGATGATGGGACCGACCCCGTAGGAGCCAGTCGTCCAGGTACGGGAAGACACA